GCTAATTTGGAAAGCTAGTGCATCATGCACTTCAGGTGGTGCAGAAGAAGTCACAGCTAGCCCATGGTTTGTTGGGCAATACATTTTCTGCTCACGGTGTGTTAACATCCTGCAACAGTCAGTGAACTTCACTTAACATAACACCAATTTTGTTTATATCCTGTATTCTCACCAAACACAAGAGAAGTCTAAAAAAAAGTGTGTTTGTTCATGTTCATTAGTAAGCAGTCGTCTACTTTCTGCTTTAGCTGGCACACTGCTGCCTAACTGGTGCATTATGGCCTCATGTAGGTCAGCAGAGTTGTGTAAAATTATTGGCAGAAATATGCATTATGTCACTCGTGTCCATGCATGTGTGAGAGAGAAGAACAAACATGCAAGGGATCACATAAGCATCAAAGAAACCAAGACTACCTTTAAGGCAAAATATCCTTAGATATCATAGCAGCTAATTAAATGTATGGTTTCTTGTATAGACCGGAATTCATTTGCATTCTTTATTTTTCCCCTGTTCCTAGACACTCTTATTACCCTGCTTTCTCTTGCCCTTCCCACTCTCCTCCTCCGCTCACCTTCTCTAATTTCGTCTCCCCTGTCTCTCCCACTCCAAGCAAATAGACTGTTGTGATGGATCCAGCTGTCCCATCTTAACTTCCTTCAGCTCAGAGCTGATTCTCCCACTTTGATGATTTTGCAGCGAAGGCAGACATCTTGCACATTAACATATGATTGTGCCCATGTATTATTTGTGTGCGGGGGGACTGGAGACAGGGATCGGGAAAAATCCCAGTGCAAGCTGTCATCCGAAAGAGAGACAGAGAGAGCTACAGGAACACTGCACTTGAAAAGTCAAGAGTGTCAACATCATTCATGCGGAAAGAGTGCAAGGCTAGATGTACTCCGAGTCTTCCTGGGTTGTCCTGTGTGGAAGGAGTCAGAAAAGGAGGTCAAGGAGATGAAGCGTCCGAGAAAAAGTTTCAGCCTGTGAGACTCTGAGGCTTCCTGAACGCGAGTTAATTAACAGAGGATTTTGTTAAGATGAGAAAGCAAGTGATATTTCACAACTCGAAACACAGACCCACACAAACACACACGCAGGTTTTTGTGCTCTCCAGCTAAGTGACAGAAAGAAGGCCATTTCTGATGGTATGAGGCCCGTGAGCCTGAAAATGCACAGCAGCATACCTAGAAACCGCTCACTCTTCCTCAGCATTGTGTTTAATCTCCAGCTTCTAGGTTTTGGACTCAGCCCGCTTACATTTGCAAGATGAGACAGATGAGATTTATCACTGAAGATACAGGAGATGAGAAGTAGTGATATGTTCGGCGCTGTCAGTCACTCAGTGCCGGCATTAGTCACCGCGCCTCAGCTTCTCTGATCTGTTGTCTGTCATCGACGCTCGCAGACAAATGCATCACACGAAGCAGAAACACACACACAAACGCGCACGCACACACTCGTCTCATTTGAAACACCTTCGCTCTCGCGCACGCACCGTTCTCTCCATGAAAAAGAGATGTTCAATTTCCGTCTTTGCTAAGTGGACAGCTCGTGTCCTTCAGGAAGCAGGCAGTAAACAAGGCCTTGTTGGTGGATGGATTCTCTGTGGCACATCCTGTCAACTCCTCCAGTGATCGGAGAGAAACTGAGGTAATCTGCGCGACTCTGTGTAAGACTCATGGTGCAGATCAACTGTCTCGATTTCTTTCCGTTTTAAGTTTTAGTCATCATAATTCATATTTTTGAAAGTCCCCCCCCCCCCCCCCAAAAAAAAAAAGGATGCAAAAGGAAGATTGAAGTAGTCATCTCGTCAGAATACAGAGGCCATTCTTTGAATATTTGATGCAGACGGATAGGTGTTCACTCCAGTGGAACAAACTAGATTGGAGTCCAGTCGCTCATCTGGAAAAGGCTGTAATTTAAAGTCGTAGCTGCCGAGTGTCCTTAAGATCCTCATTTCCTTTTTTTGGCAGAACTTCAGCCTCTGGATCAGCCCACCTGGGCCCTGTCCTCTGCTGAGGTCAATTGCCCAAAGGTGCACACACACACACAACCACAGAAGCATCTACGCTCAGATGCTTGAATTTCACCGGCACTAATTGCAAACAATAATTTGCTCAGAAATGACGGTGTCAGAAAGCAAGTGGATAAATAGATTATCAACAGTTGTGGCACCTTCAGTGTACTCTGATTTATTTTCTCTTTAAAGTCCAGACTTAGTTGGGGGGGCTGAGAAGGGAAGAACAACATTAACATGTACTTTGACTCACAAATAAATAAGCTGATAAAATTACACTATGCAGATCTCATAGTACCATATCACTCTCGGACTGCAGGCTTGCTTGTGGTTCTTTAGCTGTGTTTTATGGAACCAGCTCCCAGTTTGACTTCGGCTGTGGCAGATGGCTGCTCTTCCCTGAGTCTGACGTTTCTTCCTGTTAAAGGGAGTTTTTCCTTCCCACTGTCACAAAGTGCTTGCTCATAGGGAGTTGTCTTGTCATTGGGTTTTCCTTTCTAGTATTGTAAACAAATGTTGTTGCAAATAACATTGAATTAAACTGAATTCAGTCATTGTTTTTGATTTTAATTAATTTATGATTAAACTAATCAGCTGATTCCACTGTTACTATAGTTACATATTAATATTGGCAATAATAATTTGTGTAATGATCGCAGCGTAGTAATATCTTTACAATATGTTTTGAAAGATATTAAAAATATGGTAACATACTTTTGATTAAATAATTTCATGAGTGCATTATTTAAATTAAAAGGGGGTACTATATGTTCATTTTACAAACGTCATGGGCTACTAGCAGTCTAATATAGAGGGCCATTACTAACACGAATGATGTCATGAAGTGAAGATCCACACGCTCCAAATAACTTCTAAATAACATTAAAATTGTAAATTATGTCCAAATTCCCAATGAAAATATTAGTAACAATAAAATAAATCGACATAGATGCCATACTAACATTCACCTAGGTCTCACCAGTAGTTTGATATGCACCAGTGATCCATGTCAGACTACTGGCTACAGACTACTGCTGCATATCAGATTACTATCAGTGATGCATCACTCTGTACTGGAATTCGTTTAAATAGCAGTACAGTCCCACTGCTTTTTTCTTTCTTTGTTTGCTCATTTTTTAAAATTGCCTGGCAGCAGTTTTGTGCAGATATCAGGTGTGGTGTACGGGGGTCCTTAATAGACCAAACTGAGGTGATCTGTATTTTATCTAGGTGTGCTCTAACACTATATCACCGGTAATTAATACTGAAATACCTTCAGGCATTATGTTCCATACAGGGCTCCCTTGTTTCAAGACAATACAGTAAAAAATGTTATGTTTGTTGTTGTGATTTGTGTGTTTGCTACCTGAAGACCCTTGTAAAGTTCAGTAAAAGTTCTGATGACTGAGGGCTGCTAAACGCTACCAGTTTCTATTTCATTTCATGTTATTATTATGGTAAAGGACCTTTACCCTGTTCCAACATACACAGTTATACTGAGAGTAATCACAAAATTTTTAAAAAGGGATTAGTTAGTTAGTCCAGCTATTACACTGATGTGCTGGCAGATTATCCCATTGTTACCAACATATTAAAAATACTACTACGATCACTGTTCATTGATATGTTTAAATGTGAAAAAAAAATCATGAGTCAAATAAATAAAATGTAAAAATAAATCATATGAGTATTTATTACTCATATCTCATGTGTTCTACTGTCAGTTACTTCTCTATTTCATATACTATTATACTACTGGCTATTATAATCATATTAATGCTCAGATGTCCTATAAAGTGGTAGTACTAAATATTGTACAATGTGTGACAAAGGGCTAATAAAATTTCCAGGAGTACAGATCGACCTTTTTAAGTTGCCCCACAAGCCAAATATATTTAGTTTAATATTATATGTGATTAAAAGAAAAACCTCACCTATGACTTCTTGCACCCAAAAAATTTGAAATAATGTTCTGAGAAGATTATCAAAATAGCTGCTGATTTATTTTCTATCACCTGACAAACTGATGAATTAAGTGTTTTTGACTCAGTTGGGACTTTTGTTACCCGGCAAGGTTTTTTTTTAAGCAGTTTAATTCATTGCTGTCACTTTAGACTGTCAGTGTGGGTACAGCTGCCAGTAAAATACAAAAAAACAGAATCAGATGGACTGGCAACTGTACAAACTTTACCAGCAAACATCAAAATAGAAATGGGCGCTGAAGTTCTGCCAGTACTTTCTGAGAAAGCACTGAATACATTTGAGAGCAAAAACAGAGTTAAGTAATAAACCTATCACAGTGACAAGTCTCAAGGGCATCGCGATTTTTTAACTATGATTCTGCTCGTCTCGTTTGCTTGGTACAAGTGCGCCGGCGAGGCCACACTTAGTTTACTGTTTGTGACGTGCTGTAATTTAGAGCAGCGGTCTCCAACCTTTTTTGCGCCACGGACCGGTTTATGCCCGGCAATATTTTCCTGGACCGGCCTTTAAGGTGTCGCAGATAAATACTACAAAATAAAACCAGTACCGGTACCGAAAAAAAGAAGATTTATTCATAACACACGTGAAAAGACCCAGGAAAACCGAGTTAACGATAAAAACGATAACAAAATAACGCTGAAAACCGATAAAAACCCTGAAAACTATACATTTCACACCTGAGCCTCAACTCTCGCGGCCCGGTACCAAACCACTCACGGACCGGTACCGGTTCGAGGCCCGGGGGTTGGGGACCGCTGATTTAGAGTATTCGCTAAAGAATTAAACACAAGAACAAGAAGTGTGCGGCATGTCTGTGCACAGGGAACTCAGCAGTCCACAGCTGCACTTTGGTGAACATGGAAAATACAGAGTATGATTAACACTGTAACTGTAACCTGGGTGTGATTACAGCTTATTCCCGCAGCTTTATACACAGTCAGCTCTCACACATCGCATGAACAATTTGTCTTACGGGCGTCCGTTCTATTTCTGTTTAAGGTGTAAGTGTAACCTCCACGCCTCCCAGTGCCTGCCAGATGAGGATGGCGGGAACCTCCAGTGCCAGTGTGAACACAACACCACAGGCCAGGACTGCCAGCGCTGCAAGAAGGGCTTCAAAGCCAAGTCCTGGAAAGCAGGTTCCTACCTGCCGGCACCCAACGGAACCCCCAACACGTGTAAGTTAGAAATAACATCACTGACTCTTTTTAATAACACCTATCAGCCTTCTTTATTATAATAGAGCTGCACAACTGTAAGACTACTTTTTGCGGAAGCAATCTGAACCGTGGCCTCCATCGTTGCCGACTTATGAAAGAGGTTTTCTATCACTCTGACGTCCTGCATGAAAGCAGGCTGGAAAAGAAAGAAAAGGGTGAAGAGGCTGAGTTGTTGTCACCTCTGTGCAGAGAGCACATCAGAGCCGTGTCATGACGTGGGAGTGTGTGGGGAGGAAATCCTCTCAGTAGCTAGCTACAGTAGCTAGATATGATAAAATAATAATCTAGGGCAGCCCCTCCCTAGCCTTTCTCTTTCCAAACAGACACTGAGACACTTAGGAGCACAAGAGATGCACACAGAAACTCGCAACTGCACACCTGTACTTGTGCACTCACACACACACACAAACACACTGCAGAGAATGGCTCTATTGTTAGCCTTTTGTTTTAAATCTGCCTGACATTTCCGACCCAGTTCTAATGGTACCGACGCAACTCCCGAGCCCACCGCCCATTTTTTCTTTTTTTTTTAAACTGAATCCCATTAGTGGAATTTTAAAAATTCAAATGTTTGCAGCTCGCTCCGTCGAAATGCTACACAAAACGGCCACGGCTCACGAAAGAGCCTCTACAGATTGCATTATGCATGCTCGGGCTAGGCTAACTGTTAGTACAATCTCGGGGAAAAAAAAATATGCAAGAGAGGCGAAAGTTTTGATGCGAGTGTAGCAAAGTGGTAGTGCTCTCTTAAAACATCCATATGTGATGAGCGCCCGTGAATATGGGGATTAGAGAGAGAGCAGCAAGATAAAATTAGGAAGAATGGAGGAGGCGGGTTCAGTAATTACTTCAGTACTGAGAGGTAGTCCAAAACAAGCCTTTATTTTTGCAGAGCAGCTCTTTAGCTCTCTCTGCCACCTGAGTCTGATGAATGAGGCAGAGTCAAGTCTTTAGGCAAACTGAATGCATAAATAAACAAGCTCTCATCTCATATCCTCTTCCCTTTTCTTATTCTCTTTCAGGTACAATTGCTGGTTCCCCCTCTGGTTCTAGTAAGTAATAATGCAAAGCGAAGCAGAAGAAGTGCTATTCCACTCTGCTTCTCTCCCTGTCTCGTCTCTGTCCCCTTTTTGTTGCATTATTTTAACCCCACACCTCGCCATCTGGATCTCCTAAACCCCACCCTGCTCTCTCTCTTTGTGATGTTCAGCTGGCTCTCGACTCAGTCATTCCTCTTCCCCCCCTCTGCATCTCCTCTCCTCACTTGCTCCAGCTCGGGCCCCGCGTGCTTCATTATTAATAGGCCTCTCTGTCGCCCATGTCCTTTCATCCCAACACATCACACTAACCTGCACAGGAGGATTTCTTCCACAGTTCTGCTGTTTTTTTTATTTAGACTAAAGACAGTTCTGTTGATGGATTGAAGAAAAGGGGCGATGAGAGAGGGCTGAGTGAGAGAACGGCGGGTGGATGGAGCAGAAAAGGGAGCTGAGCGAGGGAGAGAGAGAACGAAAAGGGAGAGAAGGATGTGGGCATATGTTAGTGTGTTGTAATGCAGTGTGATTCCGGGTGAGGAGCGTGGGGAGGCAGGAATAAAAGGGAATTTGATTAGGGATTCTCTCTGTGGAGAGACTCGCAGCCTCCGAGCTGTTAGACAGAAACGATTGGCAAAGTGGCAACATCAACCCTGACAGCACTGGGCTTTTCTCCACATGGCCCAACAGTAAAGGCTGATGCATGGATAGACTGAGCAATTGGACTGCACTGCAGAAGCCTTCTTTTTTAAATGGTCTCCTCTGACAGTTAGACACAACTGTCTGGTTATTTAGAGAATGAAAAGAAAAACATTGGTGTTATTTATCAAAGAAAATAATGATTCTAGCTAATGGGATGATTACGGGTTCGGTTTTCCAGTTTCAGCCTACCCACACATTTAGCTTCTGTTTATTAATGGAGATCTGTACTTGTTGTTGCCAAATAGCCACAACAGGAACTTCATCTAGGACGTTTACCGCTCCCAAAGCTGATGACGGGACAGAGGTGAAAGCTGGAGTTGAAACTAAGGGTGAAACTGAAGGTGAGGGCGGGCCCGAGGGCGACGTGGAAACAACCACAACCATCTCTGAAGCTGAACGGTCTCCCGCTGTTACCCACAAACCACTTCAGGAAGGTGCGACAAAGTAGATTAGGAATAGGTAGATTGAAAGTTGATGCTTTATATTTTTTCAGTATGTCCTCAATATGATGCAAAAGCAGTTCTGATGAGCAACGTGCCTCTGTGGTGTTAATGCTCGGCCTGTCTCTAATGGTAATGTTAAAAGCTGGTTGTCTTATCTTGAGAGCAAGGTCATCAAGGTCATTCAGAGTTTATTCATTCAGATTGAATGATTTTTGAGCAGTCCGGGATAGATGTGAACATTTCGGTCAGCCGCCTCGATATACTGTACGGTAAAGTGGCCTGTAAAGCGCAGCTTGCTTTCATACTAAATTAAATCCTGCTATTTTGGTAAGCAGCAGACCTCTCATGTTGTACCAGGAAAGCACTTAGAAAGTGGGAGGAGCCGTGCTAGTTTTTTTTGGTCTTAAGGAAATCCATTAAGAGCATGTTTTGAACAGCGCAGCAGTTTTGTTGTTTGGCTGACGACAGGAACTCAAAGAACCCACTCATTTGCTTTGATTTAGGTGAGCCTGACAGGAGCTTTAACATTACATAAACAGGACTACAACCCTCAGAGAGCCTTTTAAAGTCCTGTTTGAAGGACACAAACTTTACAGAATATCTCACGTAGACTTTTAAATTTAGTCATAATGCTACAATAAAGCAATACAATGCATTCCCAATGGGGCCTCAACCTACAGCTTCTTTTATTATCATTTACTTCATTCTTTTTCTTTCATTGATCAGACAAAACGCAAAATACTGAATTAACAATTGGAGAAATGTTTTGCAATGAAAAAAAAAACACTGGACTGAGGGATTGAACCAGTGTTATCAGTGTGTTGTGTTACAGACTTTGTTTGTAGCAGCCTGTTGCAAGAACATAAAATGTGATGTAATACACGGTGGAGGCTGTGTCATGGTTTGGGGCTGCGGTAAAGTCAGAGGTGTTGAAGATCTTGCCAATAATGTTGGAATTATGAATGCAAAAAAATACTTTCAGCTTGTGATTCACCATGCAAAACAATCCTGAAAAAGTTCCGAATATCAAGAACTGAGGAGTGGCTCAAGTTTTAATACATAAAAGTTGTTTCTGCTTGACTTCTATCTGTACATACCAGATATAAATGTACAATATGCAGCAATATTAAAAAATATACAACACTGCTCTGTTACACTTCTGGTAGACCAACGTGAAAGATCATCCTATTGTAGAATTGTATTCTTGCCTATTTTTAATCTCAGCTTTAGAGAAATGTATTTGGCTTGAATCTGACCCCGATGTGAGCAAACCTCTGTTATCTGTGTGTGTGTGCGTGTGTGTAAGTGCATGTGAATGTGTGTTTGTGAGCAGGTGTGTTTAGATTTATGGCGAGCATATGGTGCAGTTCAGTAAAACCCATAAATCATCTTCATCCCCTCCTTCACCTCCCAGGGATCTCAGGTCTTAGGTTCCATTCTCACAGAGTGTTCGCCACTACTGTTTGTACATGCACACACTGATGCACACGCACACGCACGCACGCACACACACACACACACACACAGGTTTTATCATATCATGTAACTGAAGGTCCTGACTTTAATATCTAGATCAAATAACACCATTAGTCTTGAATAATACAGCATAAACTGTTATTTCATTTATCTTATTTAAGTGTGTCTTAAGAACCTTTTTAAAACCTCCAGGTTAGAAGTAACAATACATGCTTTAACTTTTTCCCACTTATAATGCTTGATTTTTTTTATATCCACATACAAAGCCGGTTATATAAACAATATTTTCAATACTATTACTGTTTCCAGGAATATAAAAATGAAAATCCAGGCTTAGTTATTCATTGATTTTGATGTAAAATCAAACAATGATAAGTTGTATTTTTAATGTGTTCTGTGCTTCCCGAGCAGATGTACCTTTTAAAAAACATTACAGCAGCTTATGCTTGGACAGGATGTTATAGTAGTCGCAGCCTTTGTCGTGCCTCTGCCCCAGTTAAGTCAGTGAGCATGCTCAGATAAGGATTAGCGATGCATTGGCAAGAGGCTCTGATCCAATGAGCCCGTTGCCTATTGGTCAGCTGGACAGATGGGTGTTTGGTGAGTGGGGAGGGCTGGTGGGAGAAACCAAAATCCCCAAACCCTGTCGTACATCTACCTATCCAGACGCATGACCCCTCGTGACCCATGACTTCATCGTTTATCCAAAACCAGATACTCTGGGCTGAAAAAGAGCCATACAAGCATAACATGTCACATGCTGAACCGCACATGCAGATGACCATGTGTGCACACACACACTGATGATGCATTACTCTCCTGAATTACTTGCATTTTTTGAAAAGATTGAACTTGGCCTTGGTCTCGGAGAGATTGGATCATGTCTGGAAAATCATGTGACATATTAATAACATCCATGCGCTCTGCCACCGTCAGGTGTTCGGGCAAAATGTTAACCGCCTATGAATCCCAATGTATTCATTAGTGTGACTCTAAATCAATGTTTAACACTCCGGTAATAAATGATGAGAATGCTAAGACTGACAGGTGGCATTAAAAATTATTGTTATACTTTTTTCCCGGGCTACATTAATTGAAGTGACAAATGATCTCATTACATGCAAATGCATAAAAATGCCAGTGCGCGCCAGCAGACACTACATGCTCGCTTCAGCACGCGCGCTGAGGCGAGGTGTGTGCATGGAAGAGTGTGTCATGGGACAGTTAGTGAGTCCATTTGCGCAGACAGACAGGCACATATTAAGGGATTTAAAAATGAATCAGCTTAGACTGCCAATGCATTATGTGTGAGAGTGGTGGCACTGTTGCATGGCTGGAAATGATACAAAGACTTATTTTTTTATTTTTAACCCTTTTTCTGTATATACAGAGTCTATTACATTCCACAGCTCTGTTTCTGGGGTCGGAAAATCACATTTCAGCTCTCTAAACCCCCCATTATTTCAATACAAGTGAAGGTAGGCGCCATAGTGTGAGACTCAGTTAATGTAGTTTAGTTTCGATTGCAGTAGAGTGATATTAGGATTGATAGCTATGAGTGCGATGGTTAAAATGCCTTCCTTTACATCTGATTCAGAGTTTTCAAAACCCTCATACTCAAAATCCACTGCTAGCCCGAGTTTAAAACCTACCAGATTCCTCTTCTCCATTCCTTTCCCGGTTCTGCTTTCAAACCTCTCTGTGGAACTGGACAGCCTACTGTCCTTTCAGAAATAGATTTGTTACATTGTTGTAGAATGTAGAATGAGTTTTATGATGTACTTTTCACCAAACATCTTACAAAGAAGCTTTGATCTTGTTCTCATCATACAGGAAGTTTAAAGTATCTGACTGTTCTGGATCTGTAAGGGGAATAATCCTGCATAATTTCCTGTATTTACATGTATTACATTCTACAAACACACAATAAGCCCAGAGACAGACTGGCGACCTGTCCAGGGGTGTATCCGCCTCTTGCCCCGTGGTAGCTGAGATAGGCTCCAATCCCCACCCACCCCCCACATGACCCTGAACTGGATAAACGGAGAAAATGAATGGATGGATGGATGGCTCAATGGAAACATACACAATATATGTCTTAATTAAATTATTATAAATAAACCAACTGCACAATAAATATATTAACAATGCAATAAAGTGAAGTGTAGAGGAACCGCGCAGCTAGTATTACAACTCAGTTATTCTCTCTCATTAACTGCTTACTGATGATTCACTTAAGTGGAAAATAGCATGACGATCAGCCCGGACATTTCCGCGGTTTCAATGCAGTTTCGTATAATTAGATTATGTGGCAATCTGGTGCACCTCTGTGCAGCTGTGTTACATTTATAGTGATCCAGCAACTGATTTGTAGCTGTTTTGAAGGTGAGAGATAAGCGTTGCCATTATTTGTCATTGTTTTTGTCTAACGACAAAGCTGAGTGTGTGCAAACACATACGGACACATCCATGTAAGTGCAAAGAAAACGGCGTAATACACTTTGACAAACACTGTGTGATTTCATTTTACAACCGCATTAACAATAGTCACACCTTTTAGCAGTCACAGCGTTTTCCAGAAAGGACACAATTTCCAGCACAGAAAGGGTTTGTGGAACAGCTTTTTGAGTTTAGCCTGTCTCAGCAGTGTGAAATCACACTTTCATTGCGGGTTCTCACTTCCGTTCGTGTGTGAACGTGCGCATACTTGTGTGTGAGTGTGTGTGCGCGTATATGTGCTCATTTGAAGGGAAAAAAGAGGGGGGAGCGCTAGGCTTTCTTTGGATAAACAATCTGAGGCAGCATCTCTTATGCTAATGCCATAGCCTGCACATTCCTCATTGCATTTACATTCTCCGTCCTCATGCAACTGATGCAACAGACAGCAGAGCTCCACCAGCAGAAACCCGAGTTACAGAGAGCTCAGCCCCGCTAACACACAATGTGTTACCCACCAGCGCTGCGCCTAAGCCTCTACTGATACCCACGGGAGAATCTGACACACTTCATATTACAACAAAGGTTCACCCTCCATCACCATCCTCTCTGCCAGAGCAGCGCAGAGTTCCCCTGACACCAGAGGAGTTTACGCCTTCAGAAACAATCCCCGAACACTTGCATCTGTCGCATCTAGTCCTGAAGAACTCTGCACATGGCTCAGCGGTTGATCAACATCATCGCCACCACCGACAAAAGATCACAGAGGAGCCCGATGTCCATCTGCTGACACACCATCACACGAGCTGTGTTAAAACTGGGGATAAATGCTCAGAGCTAAGGCACAGTAAGACATAGATAGCAGTAGATACAGAGTAGAATGGAGGCCCACAGAAATGAGAGTAATCTAATTTAGAATGAGATCGTTTTACAGCCAGCGTGATGGGGTTTACAGGGTGTCAAAGTCTTTTAAAATGGGCAATTTTCAGGCCTAACATGCTTTTATACACAAGCTACCATCACTTTTACGCTCACCATTATATCATATGTCTGAAGCCTTGCTCAGTTTAGGTGCTGACAGTGAAATCCACTTAATGTGGGTGAATGAGCGTGTGAGAAGCTACAGAAAGAAACAGAAAGTTGGATTAGTTCGGCCGACATCGTCTTTGCATCATTTAAAGTCACAGAGAGAACTGCAGAGCATCAGAGGATCGGAGACTGAGCCCAAATTTATGTGAACTCACTGCAGCACATTTTTCTTTAAAAAGACTGCCGGAAGCATTGTGCGTAGTGCCGAGATGAAAACGATCCCGTGTCGTTTGGGGTCATTTTCTGCTGGTTTTGGCACAGCGTCAACCTGCCGGTGAGGAAGCAAATGAAGAGCTCCATCACTGTCATGGTTTACTAAGCCCAACTGACTCTTACACATGCCCTTCTTTCAGTCAGCGCGGAGCAAAGGGGGAACACCGAAGGCTCCGGCTGCCAGCGTCTCCTGTCAGATGGTTCGAGCTGAGCTGATTGAGATTAATGCCAAGAATGGTTCGGATCACTCCTACCCCCCCCCC